TGTAGATCGGTTTACCTGGTTGTAGACTGTTATACGATTATCTAATATACGTGCACATGATTGATTGGTGGTTGAGGCTTATCTACTTTGTGCAAGAGCCAACAAGTCTGGGCATTCCAACCCGATGGTTGTGGGCCAAGAGTATTCCGTCCCGAGGATAATTGAACTCATAGTATGTGGGCATTCCAAACCGATGGTTGTGGACCAAGGGTATACCATCCTAAGGATGATTGGACCCATAGTATGTTGGCATTCCAAACCGATCGTTGAAGGCTTGGGGCATTCCAACCTGATGGTTGATTGGGCCCATAGTATGTGGTTATTGTACGTGTTTTATTTGTTGTGCGGGTATTTTGGGGGAACTCACTAAGTTTTGGGGCTTACAATTTTGGATTTGGTTTCAGGTACTTCGGATGATCGCGGGAAGGCGAAGGCTTGATCGTGCACCTCCTTGCATTTTATGATTGTGATTTCTGGGAAAACTCTAATTTTGATTTAGTTTGAAAACAATTTTTGAACATTATTGGTTTTGGATGATTTTGCAAACAATTTATGAACTTGGGTTGATTCTGAAAAGTTTAAACTTTGTGAATTTTTATGGATGTTACAGTGAGTTTGCTAGTATTCCACTGTACTCTCTAGAATAGTCCATGGTTGTCATCTATACTCTGCTAAATGACTAGGCCATCACTTGGGTCAAGGCTTCTCATCATTAAGGTCAAGGCTTCTCATCATTAAGGTCAAGGCTTCTCATCATCTTTCACCTCTCATCATCTATATCATCTTTCATCTACTCATCTTTACACATCATAATTATAGGTATAAAATACATATACAGTTTAAATCAAATAAATCATGTATATTTTGTTTATCTAACAAGATATCAAGAACACAGACAATATGCACACATAGCATGTATTTTATAATAAATACCTCATATTTATGTGTAAGATGAAAGTAACTATGCACTCACTTGTTAAAGTGATGATTCCAAATTCGGGCAATGCTTTGCTTCTAGCGATTCTATTTTCCTTCGAAGAAACCTAATATTATTACCACTGGATTTTAGTATAATATTTATTGCGACTATTTATGATGATATTGTTTTATAAGTGTTAAACAATAATTTTCAACCACTATGTACAGACAAGGGCTAGACATGAAACACTGTAGGGCAGGGCCTTTTTGCCATTATAGCACTTATGAAATCCAACAACCCTATGCGGCCATTCAAACCAATTTTCCCGTACCCTGAGTAGTTAAAAGATATATTATAATAACACTTTGTATACTATATTTTATAATAAATATATTGTTTATCAGTTCATAATAATGATATTGAACTTAAACATAAGCTATACTTAAAGTGGGGTGATCATAACTCACTTATTAGGAGGTTTGGTTAGCAACCGGACTCTGTGGGGGCAGAACTTCCAAGCCGAAAGCTCTTCTTCTCGGAGTTTTCTAGAACTTCGGGACTCGCCTCTTAGCGCTTAGGAAGTGCTAGGGCTTGGTAGGGGTTTAGAGACAAGTTTGAGAGAGAAAGAATGGGAGATGTGTAAAGGAAATGGAAGATTTATGCCTCTATTTATATGCTGGGAAATGGCCCAACTTGGCGCGTTCTGAGCCTCCAACTCGTCGAGTTGAGTGCCAAGTGTCACCAACTGGTGGCAATGGGTGGGGAGGAAGCAATGGTCAGGATTGTACCACGTGTCGCTCGCAGATTACTGCAAAAACTAATTATCTTCTAAAATCTGTAACTTTCGCATACGAGCTCCATTTTTTTGACGTTCTTTATATCCACGCATAGGCAGCAACGCCATCTACAACATTCATTTAGACTCTGTTTGCTAATTATGAATTTATTTTTAAATTTAAATATTAACAGACTTAGACAATTGAAGTCCGTTAAAAATTCAAAACTTTGTCATCCGATGTCCGTTTTCGACCGTCTTTATATCGTTGAGCTCCTATTAATGAGATCTTCAATTCTTATTTAGGTTGTGTTGGCTAAAAATCGACCACTCTAAAATTCAATTTCGGGCTGTGCACTGTTACACTAAATCTTAGAAAAATCACAACTTTTCCATACGAAGTCTGATTTGGATGTTCATTTTATTTACGTTCTTGGTTTAACATATACCACGACTTTCGTCTAGCTCCCTGAGGCTAAAAAATTATTTGTCAAAAATTCACTTTTTACGTTACGCGATACCATATCGATTTACCCGTAAAATTTCGATGGGTCATAATTTGTTCGTTATAACTCGGATTTCAACGTCTTTATATGTACAAAACCCTTGTGACATATATTATAACTTGGTCAATATTATTTATTGTAAATAATCTTGTATAAAAAAAATTATTTTTGATGCTTATTATCTTTAAATTGATTAGCCTAAATCTGCGAGCGTTACAAAAATGAAAAACACCTTGAATCATATGTTACATATTAAAAACAAAATTTTGACTTCTTAAAATTTATAAAAACTTTAATTTTTTTAAACAAAATAAAAAATATAAATAACCTTAACAACAATATTCTTGATATTTCCTTATATAAACTCACTAAAAGTGTAAGATGAAAAACTTTCTTTATTTTTTTTATAATTGGAGATAAAAAAGTTCCATTATATTAAAAAGAAAAAACTAGTATTTTGATAGAATTTAAAATAAAAACTCTTAAAAAACTCATATAATTTTTATAAACTTACTAATAAAGAATATTTATGAAGAATTTATTTTTTGGGTTTTGTAAAAATAAATAACAAAAAATATATGTGTAATTTAAAAAAATTATGGTAAAATTAAGTTGTAAGAATTTGATGCAACATACAAAAACTAGCAAATTAAGATAGGATAGTCACGACAATAGCCCCCAAACACGTTGATTTTAAAGATACTGTGTGATGCGTTTCAAAATGGTTCAACAAACACAAAATTTTGGAAGAAAATTGGATGTCCTTAAAACTAATCAATGACCACCCAAAGTACATCGGTAACAGTTAAATAAGAAACATAAATTAAAACGGAACCGTATAAATCCATGAGCCAAATACAAACCCGAAAACAAAACCCAAAATTTATGGAAAAATAATAAAATTGTTCATAACTCTATTTAGAAAACGATTTTTATACTAAAAAATAGATAAGTCCCATTTCGAAACATATCATGACGTGCTTTTTGTTCCAAGTTTTGATTTGACCAGTTATCATTCAAAACGGAGCCTCATAGCCGAAGTTATGAACATTTTGGTTATGATGTTTTTATCACATCATCATGAGCCTCTAGAAACATAAGTTTCCATCCTCCACACAAGATCATCCATCATAATTTTAGTTTTTAAATTATTCAGCAAAATAATAATAAAATTGTGGCAAAAAAAAACAAACTAAATAAAGATAATATTATAAGCCAATTGGTCTATGACACATAGCTCTACAAATGGCAACAAAACACGATTCAGTTTTTTAAATTAATTTTTACAATTTCACTTTATATATATATATATATATATATATATATATATATATATATATATATATATATATATATATATATATATATATATATATATATATATATGAGAAAAATAAAATATACATTCCAGCTCCACTTAAACTTAAATGTTAAACCTCGTAAAAATATATCGTTTCATTAGTTAAAATTACAAATAGGGCATTCATGATTAATATTTGACATTGCAGATTCAATTTTGATAGCGAAGTAAAAGTGTTAATTATTTTTGCCTTTCGTGATGGTTAAAAAATAGTAATTTTCAATGACATAAAATAATAAACGATAATGAAAGAAAGAAAACATTGATGACTAAATACAGTGGCGGATCTATAATGGTGCACGGTGTTGCACCGGAAACTACTAGATTTTTTCGTATTAATATAAAAAAAAAAACTTTTTTTATTATTATGCACTATAAAGAAACAAGTTTATTACTACTGCAATTCATACATATTATCAAAAGTTAGGATACCTCAGCTTGTCAAAGGCGCAGATTAAAGTTCTCCTTTGTGACTTGGTTCAAGTTCGAATCTTGGTAAAAAGAAGCTTTTTTTTTATTATTTCATTCACTTTTCCTTGCCCACGATAATTATTTTTATTATTTATTTTTACACTTACTTCTACTTTGAAGTACAACTAGATGGGGAACCCCCGCGTTGCGAGGGTCGGATGCAACAGTTTTTTCCGTTGTCGGATGCTAAAGATTTTTCCATTGTCGGATGCTACAGTTTTTTCCGTTGTTTGTTCTTTGTAAATGTTATTTGATCAGTTATTTGTTTATTTGATCAATCAGGTGGTCAATAATTGGATTTAACATTAGGGTTTAACACTCCCCATCTGGTTAAATAGTGCACTCTGCATAGACCCTTTGATACTTATACATATAGAAACAGTAACGACATGCTATCCAAAATGTAGGCGAGTCATCCACATTCTCGGCTTCTGCTTTTGCTTCTGTTTCAATTTCCACCAGTTGCAAGGTGATATTGAAGAAACATAAGCTACATTACTTCCTTCATGCTCTCTTTTCCTTCTGATGTCAATGTGCACCTTGTATTCCATGTTTGTTTATACTTCATTATGTCATCAAATCTGTCAACAAACAAAAAACAAATACACATCAGGTAATGTTTAATGTTAAGAAACAAATGATGAAAATAGTTGAACGGGTAAAAAAAGTAAACATTTTATAATTATCAATATTTTGTTTAATAATAACATCAACTTTCAATCCTTATTTCGTGATTATGCTTTTGAGAAGCTTCATTGTGGTCAATCACATAAGATTGAATTTTTAAAATGTTTAAACACTAAAGATTTGGTAAAAATTTACGGCTATAATTTAGGATAAAATATTGAAAATTCGTCCTCAATCATTTTGTATTTATTAAATATATAACTTTTTCTACATTTGGTATTGAAGGTGGTAGAAATTGTGATACCAGAGTTTGACCAGATACAAACGGCTCATGTTATTTCAATTGCTGCTGAAGCAACAACCTCATTAACACTTCCAAAGGAAAACCTACTAATTTGTTGTTGTTTCAGTCTACTGTTGACATGGCTAAGGAATTCCATTACCTATTATAATCAACAAAAATGGACAAATTTTCACAGGTATGTCAATAAGTTGGTGCATATTTGAAATACCATTCAAGCATTTTACCAAACACCCACATAATAGTTCAATCAAGGTCATCATTTTTTTAAAATAAATCTTCAAAATTGTTATAACAAATATCACATAGACAAATCACACAACTAAAATTAATAACACAAAAAAGTAGCAAATGGAAAAAAATAGAAGTTTTTTTTAAATAGATAGGTGTTGGGGCTTGACGAAGGAGTTGGTGTTACCTTGCATCGTTAGATGTATTTCATCTTCATTTGACAAAAATAGCCTTATAACACCCTGGTAAGCTCCATCTGAGTCACCTTGTGAAAGACAGTAAATGAGGAATTTGAACTATACATCAAACCCAAAACTTGAATAAGGGCAAAAGACATCATATTTATATGAATCCTATGTTAAGAGACTATACATACCTTTAACCACCGTCTATTTTTTGTAATTGAGATATTCTTTTTTTGAAACCCATTAAAATTCTTTAAATCCTACAAATTATGAATTTTATAGCAGATAGATTTAAATGAAAAGAACACAATAAGACAGATAATAAAATTGAGTCTGTCTCATGGAGGTGATAGCGATGGACATGGTGAACTGTAAAATTCTCTATAACTGGTATCCAAGTACACCCATCACCTGGAAAGAAAAGTAAATGAACACATCAGGTTCCATAATATACAACAGAAATTACAGAGGCTATTAAGAAAAGCATTTAAAAATAGGCTCACCTGAGTATGTTGTATCTTTGAATACCAATAAACTGCGTGGCATCAGTGCAATAGAGAAAGGAGGGTAGTTTTGTAAATTCCCATGACTGGTTTCTTGAATGTTACTTGTAGTGTCTGCTAAAGTTGAATGAGGAGTGAAGTCCATGATAACAGGTGATCCTAATGAAAGAATAGCCACCACCGGAAAATATGCGGACCCATCTTGGTGGGGCTATGTTTTCACCCAAAAAAGTGTTAATAAATGGGAAAGTAAAAAAGGGTAAGTGCAAAATACTAATTTTTATCGATTTAGTCGCAGTACAAACCATTATGCCTTTATTTGGAAGATACTCGTTGATGAGGACATGATTGATTACAGAAGAAAACAAACACAACTCCTCCTTGATTTTTTCTATAATTTTTGTCAACAATGGTGGTACTACACAGAGAAAAGAGAGAGAGAGAGAGAGAGAGAGAGAGAGATGAACTATGATTACTCGTTAACTTGATCTTATTAAATCAAATGAAATCGTTACATATAAAATTCAATACTTAAGTTTTATGACAATAAGGTATAGTATATCTTAATCCCGAAATGATATTGATAAGAGAGAAGGATTAGGGCTTACACTCTTGAGGCAAAGGACCTTTTTCATGGACAATCCCTCCTGTAACAAACATCACACGAAAACAAAAGAAAAATCCCATCAATACCTACATATATTTTAACCTCCAAATTGACGAGTTCGTAGATAACAACAATGCCATACCCTAATTTTGCAATCTCCTGTTTTTCAGAGACTTCCATTTTGAAACCAGAGCTGTGTAAATCTATAAAATCAAAATATGAAACCTCGTTTCAATTTGAGAATAAGAGTTAACCAACTACACCACTGTTCTCAATTTCGATGTGAGAAATCACACTGTTGTCGAATACCCCAAAGAACAACAAAAAGGAGAGAAGATAGCAAACAAAAGACGTGTTATTAGATTACATACCTGATTTAGGAGTAGTTTTTGATCGGAATCGGAGATGAAGTCGGGTATGTAGTACAACGTCGGAACTGAGCCGACTTCGAACTTGTTCAAATGATCTTTCGATTCCATTTCCCTCTGTTTACAAATCGATCGGAAATTCAGAACCTTCATGCTATGATGCTAGGAAATGAAGAGGAGAAAGAAAGGTAGTTAAGAACAGTGATACCTAATTGGAAGGTGATGTCGGTGATCCGAACAGTTTTAGCCGGACCCAAATAATTGGCATCCCATGAAGACGATGATTTTTTACAGAGAAACAGTGAAGAAAATGGTGAGGCTGAAGGGCACCTGCAGATTCAAGAAGGACACCTGGGTTCAAGATAGCAAAACAACGAATCAATTTACCAGGGGTTTATAAATAACAGTGTTGAAGAAGAAGTCGAGAGAAAGCCGATTTGTAGATTTGGTATAACGATCAGAGCTCTTTGAAGAACTTCAAACCTTTCTATTAAGTTTGAGCAGTTGTTTCATCGTCTAAGAAAACGAAAGCAAAAAAAATTTGCAAACATACGAACCTATAACGATGGGGTACGAAGGTCACCGGGCCAAGGCTTCACATGGACTCGACGGCATACGGCGGAGAGAGGGGGGATTCGCTTACCTGGGTTCCTCTTCAAAAGCCCTAAAATAGAACACGTGTAAACCGGAGACGATTGAGGGGTCACCTAGCTTATGATGGTGGTCGAGTGCCGATTGAGGGGTCAATTGGAGATGATCGAGGGGGTCACCGTTCATATAAAGGAGAAAGAAAGGTAGTTAAGAACAGTGATACCTAATTGGAAGGTGATGTCGGTGATCCGAACAGTTTTAGCCGGACCCAAATAATTGGCATCCCATGAAGATGTCGATTTATTATAGAGAAACAGTGAAGAAAATGGTGAGGCTGAAGGGCACCTGCAGATTCAAGAAGGACACCTGGGTTCAAGATAACAAAACAGCGAATCAGTTTACCAGGGATTTATAAATAACAGTGTTGAAGAAGAAGTCGAGAGAAAGCCGATTTGTAGATTTGGTATAACGATCAGAGCTCTTTGAAGAACTTCAAACCTTTCTATTAAGTTTGAGCAGTTGTTTCATCGTCTAAGAAAACGAAAGCAAAAAGAAGTTGCAGACATACGAACCTGTAACGATGGGGTACGAAGGTCACCGGGCCAAGGCTTCACATGGACTCGACGGCATACGGCGGAGAGAGGGGGGATTCGCTTACCTGGGTTCCTCTTCAAAAGCCCTAAAATAGAACACGTGTAAACCGGAGACGATTGAGGGGTCACCTAGCTTATGATGGTGGTCGAGTGCCGATTGAGGGGTCAATTGGAGATGATCGAGGGGGTCACCGTTCATATAAAGGAGAAAGAAAGGTAGTTAAGAACAGTGATACCTAATTGGAAGGTGATGTCGGTGATCCGAACAGTTTTAGCCGGACCCAAATAATTGGCATCCCATGAAGATGTCGATTTATTATAGAGAAACAGTGAAGAAAATGGTGAGGCTGAAGGGCACCTGCAGATTCAAGAAGGACACCTGGGTTCAAGATAACAAAACAGCGAATCAGTTTACCAGGGATTTATAAATAACAGTGTTGAAGAAGAAGTCGAGAGAAAGCCGATTTGTAGATTTGGTATAACGATCAGAGCTCTTTGAAGAACTTCAAACCTTTCTATTAAGTTTGAGCAGTTGTTTCATCGTCTAAGAAAACGAAAGCAAAAAGAAGTTGCAGACATACGAACCTGTAACGATGGGGTACGAAGGTCACCGGGCCAAGGCTTCACATGGACTCGACGGCATACGGCGGAGAGAGGGGGGATTCGCTTACCTAGGTTCCTCTTCAAAAGCCCTAAAATAGAACACGTGTAAACCAGAGACGATTGAGGGGTCACCTGGCTTATGATGGTGGTCGAGTGCCGATTGAGGGGTCAATTGGAGACGATCGAGGGGGTCACCGTTCATATAAAGGAGAAAGAAAGGTAGTTAAGAACAGTGATACCTAATTGGAAGGTGATGTCGGTGATCCGAACAGTTTTAGCCGGACCCAAATAATTGGCATCCCATGAAGACGATGATTTTTTACAGAGAAACAGTGAAGAAAATGGTGAGGCTGAAGGGCACCTGCAGATTCAAGAAGGACACCTGGGTTCAAGATAGCAAAACAATGAATCAATTTACCAGGGATTTATAAATAACAGTGTTGAAGAAGAAGTCGAGAGAAAGCCGATTTGTAGATTTGGTATAACGATCAGAGCTCTTTGAAGAACTTCAAACCTTTCTATTAAGTTTGAGCAGTTGTTTCATCGTCTAAGAAAACGAAAGCAAAAAAAATTTGCAAACATACGAACCTATAACGATGGGGTACGAAGGTCACCGGGCCAAGGCTTCACATGGAGTCGACGACATACGGCGGAGAGAGGGGGGATTCGCTTACCCGGGTTCCTCTTCAAAAGCCCTAAAATAGAACACGTGTAAACCGGAGACGATTGAGGGGTCACCTGGCTTATGATGGTGGTCGAGTGCCGATTGAGGGGTCAATCGGAGACGATCGAGGGGGTCACCGTTCATATAAAGGAGGAAGGTGAAAATAATCGGTCTGATAAAGAAGAAGGTGAAAGAAAGATTACTGAATGAATAAAAGGTTGAGTTTATAACATCCAAATATCCCCTCGTAAGCTATGCCATCTCAATGCTTGGAATGATGGCAGAGCAACAACTATGGAGAATCAACCTTCAAGCAAAGGCAAAAAACTTCCATTTCAATGTCAAAGCATTTAAATAGTTACCAACTTGCTACAATTTCTTCCGATTCTCACTTTTCCTTAACATTCGGCATCTCCTTATCCGATTAAACTCTGATAAACGAAAACCATTAAAATCAAGAATAAGTGGTTGCAGAACAAACAATATAAATATCTCTGGAGGTAACGATTTTGTGGGTAGAAGAAACAGGGCATAAAAGATCTAGATACTTACCAACTTGCTACAATTTCTTCCGATTCTCACTTTTCCTCAACATTTCGCATCTTCTGATCCGATTGAGCTTTGATAATAACCCGAAGACCAAACAAAAATCATTAAAATCAAGAATCAATGGTTGCAGAACAAACAATATAAACACTCATCTGATTTATGACCAGAAGCCGCATCAAGTGATGTGCGGTTTAAGAAGTTAACCAAATTCATAAGTAAAGTAACTCGAGGAACTCAGACGGTGGCGTTGACGGTTCTCAATCGGTGATGCAAAAGATCGATGAACCGGTTAAACCATGGTTTACCCCCGATTTCTCTTTTCCCTAACTTCTGTGTTGTGTTCGTCTTCCCTCTTGGCCGATCAAAACAAAAGAAATGGGTGGAGCCAAATAATAGAAGGGTGGAAATCAGATTTGATAACCTAGAAAATGAGTGGATGAGAAACCGGGTGGGGAGTTTGAAGATAAGACAGAACCGGTGAGGAACCCTATCTTCTTATCTTTATATGACTGTTAATAATTTAAGGGACCAAATTACCAATATATCAAATTTTAGTGCAAAAAATCTGAACAACTACAAATATGAAAACTTATGGGTTATTTTTGCCAAAAAAATCAGGATGTTCACTATTCCTAAAAACTATCCTCCTTTAATATATATATATATATATATATATATATATATATATATAAGAATTTGTTATTAGCCCCCAAAAATATCTAGCCAACAAAAAGGGCTTGGTGAATATAACTTGTTAAAACTTAAACCGTTTTTAGTAAAACTCAATTAAATCACTTTCCTCGTTTAAAATTCATATCTTAATCGTTTGCTTTTTCATTAACTTGATAACCATATAGTAAAAAATCATTTTTTTTCATTAGCAAACATATGCTCCCTAGAACTCAAAATCATTTCAACATTTTTCGTATTTAATATATATTTTTACACACAATTGGATATGATAGAGCTACATACAATTTTTTTGTGATCCATGATTTTTCATAATTTTCTATTTAATTTCTTTTCAACGTAATAGCTTTTACATAAATAAATATAAAAAAAAATCTCAATAAAACAATAATACAATAATATGATAAATTTTGTGAGAATAGTTTTATGTTTAAAAAACGTTAACTTGTGGATATATTCATGGATTGAAACTACATAATTTTAATATGTTTTATATGTAAGGTTTCATACACATTACACACATGTGTATAGATGCATTGCATATGTTTAAACTATACACATTACACACATATGTGTATAGATGCATTGCATATGTTTAAACTAAACAACTGCTTCTCTTCATAATTATTAAAATTTAGGTTAACTCAATTCATGTATTATTCTACATTTTGAATTGATTTGTTTGTTTTATCAAGCAAAATGTATCGAACTTATACAAATGCATTTATTAGTTGGCATTTGTATAATATATATTGCTCTAAACAATTGAACTTATAAAAATGCATTAATTCGGAATAAAATTTTGGTAATAAGTCTTCAAAACTTTGTACGACCACGACCAAAACGGAAACAAGCTCCACGAGATCAGAAACCTGCCCATGAAAAAAATAGTTTGCCCTTCAGGAAGTTTGTTTACAGAAATTTGTTTTGTTTAATGCACTCGTAACTTTTTTTGTTATATTTGATCGGAATTTTTTTTGTGCACCTACTACTACTTATTCCTACGTCCGTCCCTGGTTAAACAATAATAGAAGAAAGAAATGCAATGAAGAACTATATATTTACCAAGCGAAAAGTGAACTGGTTCTATTTATTAATATAAGACTCCATAATTTAAAAGTTTAATACATAAAAATAAGTGGAGCTTAAACAATTATTTTTTTAATGTAATTTTACATATTTCAATGAAAGCTATCCACTTCTATCTGATCTGACACACGAACCAGTTGATCTATGACCAAGTCACCACAATTGATCAAAAAAAAAAAAAAAAAACCCGAGTTTGTACTTTGTAATCTATAATTACCTATATATTATTATGTTTAATAAAAAAATGAACAATTATCTTACACAAACAACTATTTCAACAACTATTTTGGCAGGACACCCTTGCAAAATTTCAACTTTATGGCTATTTTTGAGAACCACTTAATTTTGCCTAAATTGTAGGAGATTATTATTTTCGAGTATACCTGTCTTCCTTTATTTGTCTATAAAGCCATAATTCAACAATAACCATATTTGCAAATTTTGTTTCATATGTTTAATTGATCAAATGAAATTAAACGAAGATCAATCATTAAAATAAAAGATCTGTTTCCCCGTATATCTAAACTTTATCAACATAAAACCAAAACATATTAACCCGTATCTTGGCGTGTATTAATGAACAGTCCATGTTAATCAGATTTCTCCGACAGTAGACGATCTCAAGTCCTTCACCGACGACTTCTCGTGTATCTCGCTTCTTTCCTTAAAATACTGCTCGAATGCTCTTGGAAGAAACCGTGGAATCAAAAATCCAAACAGATTGATTGAGAAATAACCCAGATTAGCCATCGCTAGGATTCTCCCAAACCAATACCATCCAACATCCTACTCAACACACAAATGTATATCAGAAAAATGACTTAATTACAATCTCTATGCATTAAGTAAAAGAGTTATCTTACCTTAATTCCTGCATTTAATGGCAGGGTTTTGTTGAACCACACATCTCGTACCCAATCCAATATAACAAAGATTCTTCTAACTGTATACAACATTGGCACCAAAGCCCTCACAGGAGGTGAAAACAAACACAGCCCACTTACAATCTTCTCCGTTAATATTTGAAACGAGAGTAAGAACAAGTGAGGTGTAGCCGACTTAACTGCATGATGGTCTCCCTTCACAAACTCTCCCAAGACATAAGCTAACGGCAAGAACAGCCCCACGGCGAGACCCGTAATCACATAAAGTCTAAAGCGTCTACTTGACTGAAATAATCGCTCTTTTGAAGTGGTGGCGGAGGCGTGCTCCGGGAAGACTAGTTGGGATAAGAGGAGGAGGTAGGCGGAGGTGATGGCTGGGAAGAGAAGGTCGAAGAGGGGGACAAGACCGCTAGCTGAGAAAACCGTTACGAAAGCTACCAACTGGAGGTCGATCATACTTAATGATTCCATTACATCTTCAACGGCGCCGGCCGTCTGGTCTTGTTGGTCATTGTTTGGGGGGTTCTGGTCGCAGTCAGGGCATGGCGCCACCGCAAGGGATACACCAGACATCTTTGTTTCGTTAACGGTGATCAGGTTGTAAAACCAACGTAATGGATTGTGTTCGTTGCGGATCCTAGATTACACGTGGTGTGCTTGGAGCATCGGCGGCTTTGTTTATCCACGTGGGATTCGGCAACGCTGTCCACGTGTCACAATGATTTCCATAACCTCAATTCAATGACTTATCGTTTTGTGATCACGCATAAGTTGCCTAAAATATAATAGTATTATTATATTAGGCGAATACAGCACAAAAATATCTATATAATTAAGATTTTACAAATATATGATGTAATAAATATGCTTTGTTGTTAAATTTAATATAATAATTTTTATATTGATATAATATATTGATTATTTTGAATTATATGATAATATATATTTTTATTATAATTTCATAATCTGACTTCTATCTTCGAGTTACACATGAAAAAAATTAAATATAATATATGATTTGATGTTATTTATAGTTATTTTTATTGTTAATTAATTTTTTAACATTTATTTGCTTAATGTTTTGATTTCTATCATTATAATTATTTAAAACATCAAATATTGTTTTTTATTTTAAAGCTAACAATATAATCATTTATATAGAGTTGTTTTTAACTATTGTTATTGTAAGTTATTTTATGTTACTTATTTGGAAACTTTTAACGATTATAAAAATATATTTAAGAAATATATCAGTTAAATTGAAATTACAATTTAGTTTTTGCTTTTATCACTACAATTTATCACTTTTAACTACTTAAAAAATATTATTTAGTTTTTTTAAATGGAACTGAAATTTATATTTGAGTTGACATTGTAATGCGCAGAAACACTTATATAGTTGAAATCTTTACAAATATATATATTTTAAAATATAACACTAACGTTGTTATTAAATTTGATATAATAATTCATATATTAATTTGATATAATATATTGACTATTTTGAGTTATATGATAATATATAAATCTATTATAACGTCATAATCCCAATCGTTTGAATGATTTTTACTCGTGAGTTACACATCAATAAAATTAAATATTATATATGGTTTAATATTATTTATAATTTTTATTTTTAACTAATTTTTTAAAATATATTTTCTTAATGTTTTAATTTCTATCATTATAATTAGACAAAATTGCAAATTTGGTCCCTATGGTATGTCCAAACTAGCATGTTTGGTCCAAAATGGATTTGGCTTGCAAAGATGGTCCAATAGTTTCTATTTGTTGCGAGTTTAGTCCAATGACTTACCAACCGTTACCAAGCTCCCGTTAATTTACCCATGCCCCTCTCACTTAAGGGTATTTTAGTCCATTAATCCCTGTAACCGTTCCCGCTAAAGCTCAATAAAAGCAGTTCGTCTCCTCCTCATCATCAATAAAGTAGACCGTCGTTCTTTACCAAGATCAATAAAAGCCCTAGACACAAAATCAGTTCTGTTAGTTAAGCTGTGATTTGTATAGATTATCGGTGGATGAACATAACAATGTGGCACGTAAGGTTGTTAAACACACCCTTCAACCCCAAGGTTGTTTATGGTACGTAATTTGCCCTTTTTCATCTTTTGATTTCTTGATTTTTTTTAAGTAAGTCCAACTGAGGTGTTTTTTTTCTTGTTTTGAAGATGGACACCCAACATTGTTTACCATTAAGTTGTACCATGAAGGTGAGTTCACCAAGTACCCTGAGGTTCATTACATTGATGGAACTGTAAACTATGTTGACATGGTAGACATAGATGAGTTTTCAGTTCATGAGCTCGATGCAATCATGAAGGGTTTTAGATATGGGGTTCCTCCTATTATATACTACCATTTTCTTGTGCCTGGTGGAGACTTCCACTTTGGTCTTCGCCCTTTAGGAAATGATCAAGATGTTGCAAACTTTTCTCAATATGTTAGTGAGCACAAAGTGATGAAGGTATACACAGAGCATGGTGAAACAAGACTACTCACCTATTTCTTGAATCCTAAGCCTGTTACCAAGGTTACCCTTGTACAGTTAGATGAACCACATGAGGATGTGCAACACATTGATGAAGCTCCTGATGACCAATCAAAGGAAACACCTGTGATGACTACACCTACTGATAATTTAGTTGATGTGGTGCCCACTCAAGCAAACCAACCAGAAATCCAAGTTAATGAAATAGTTCAAGTCGTATCCTTATCACCTGGATATAATAGGAGAAGGGGTATGAGCAAAGACTTTGTTGAGGCAGCTACTGATTTTGATATTGGACTCTACCAACAAATACTACAAAGCAATGTTGATGGAGTCAATGGCACTAACATGCATGATGTCAATGAACCTCAGATGGATGAAGAAAACCAAGCTCAGATGGATGAAGAAAACCAACCTAAAATGAATGACTTTTGGGATTTTGACTATCAAACTGATGCTTTTGTCCAAGATGGAAGTGAAAACCAACCTCAGTCTAACATGGATAGTAGTGGAAAAGAAAATGTAAGTGAGGTTGAAAGTAAAGAAAGAAGTGAAACAGAGCAGGAAGATGATAGTGACTATTGGGTGGATGAAGATAATGTAATTGAAGATATTGAAGTTGATATGAGGGATTTTAACATGAGCATTGATACAGAAGTAGAGTTCTTAGATAAAAGGGCTAGGAATCCTAGACAACATGAGAGTGATGAAGAAGCAGATGAGTTAGATGTCATTGACAATGATGCTTTTGATTCCATGGATGAGGATTCTGACCAGGACAAGAAGAGAAGAGCAGTTTTGAAACAACTAAGTAAGGAAAAAAGTTGTTCTTTAGGTGAGGTTCATAAGTGTCATTTTAAAATAGGTCAAAAGTATAACAGTAAGCAGGAGTTGAAAGAGAAAATCAAAATGCATGCATTGGAAACAAAAAAGAATATTGCATTTAAAAAAAATGAAAAATCCAGATTGAGGGCCATATGTAATGGAGTTGTGGCATTTACTAATGATGGAGTTGGTGGACCTACCCAAGCTGAAAAAAGTAAAGGGAAAATTAAAGGGAAAAGTAAAGGGAAAAGTAAAGAAAAGGACAAACAAGGTGGTACAAGTCAGGAAAAAACAGATTCTTCTTGTCCTTGGATGTTACATGCCTCGAGATCTACAGATGCAAGCAGCTGGTACATTAAAACATATGAAGACAAACACACTTGTATGAATACAAGGAAGGTGAGAGCTGCAACAGCGAAGTTTATGTCCAAACAAATCATGGATCAAGTAGAATCCAACCCTACTATCCCAGTTAAAGCTCTCCAAGAACAATTACAGAAGAAGTATGGAGTGGGCTTCTCAATCCATAAAGTTTTTAGAGCTAAAGCAGATGCAAAAAAGATTGTAGTGGGTGATTACAAAAAACAGTATGAAGTTCTGAGAGACTATATCCTTGAGTTGCAGTCAACCAATCCTGATACCACAGTCAAATTAGAACTTGGAGATGTTTTAGAATCTAATTTGGTGAATTGCACTTCAAGATGTTTCAAAAGAATTTATGTTTGTCTAGGGGGGATGAAGAAGGGATTCAAAGCTTGTTTAAGAGATTTCTTGGGGCTAGATGGGGCTCATATGAAAGGCCCTTATCCAGGCCACATCTTAACTGCAGTTGGATTAGATTCCAACAATGGCATATACCCACTTGCATATGCCATCGTAGAGATTGAAAACTGCGAATCTTGGAAGTGGTTCCTTGAATGTCTTGGTGATGACTTGGATCTACATGCTATGTCTAATTTCACTTTTGTTAGTGACAGACAAAAGGTAATGGTTGTTTATTTATTATTTTTAATGTTTATTTTGTTAATCATGTGTAATTTGTTGCCAGGGTTTGCTACAAGCAGTTAGTCAACTGTTCCCATGTGCTGAGCATAGGTTCTGTCTCATACATATACATGAGAACATGAAGAAACAATGGAGAACTAAGGAATATAAAGATCACCTTTGGGATTGTGCCACAGCTACAACAGTGCCAGAGTTTAACCATTTCATGCACCAATTCAGTTTATATGACAAATCAGCATATGAATGGTTAAAGTCAATACCACCACAACATTGGGCAAGAAGCCATTTCACAGGTAAGCTATTATGACCCTTTTACCCTTTTACCATTTTACCCTTCACATAACATTATGACACTTTTACCCTTTTCTATACAGGGAGAGCAACCACAGACATGCTGTTAAACAACCTTTGTGAGGTGTTTAATGGCAAGCTAGTTGATGGGAGAGACAAACCAATTATTAGTTGCTTGGAGTTTATTAGGGAATATATGATGAAGAGGATATGCAATGTCCTCAAGGTGCAACAAAAGTGTTTAGGCCCACTCACCCCAACAGCAACAAAGATCATGGAGAAGAATGAAGCAGCTGCTACTCAGTACATTGCAGAATGGTGTGGTGATGAAAAATACCAAGTCAAAGGCCCATGGAATGATCAACATGTTGTTGATATGCATGAAAGGGTATGCAGCTGCAGGAAATGGGAATTAACATGTATCCCTTGCAGACATGTGATTTCTGTGTTGTATAACAAAGCAGATCATGGTGAGTGTGTACAAGAGCTCCATACTTATGTCCACAAGGTGCACTGGCTACAAACTTGGAAAACTGCATATGGGTACAAGGTGGAACCAATTAAAGGTCGGGCACTGTGGCCTAGAAGTGAGTGTCCAATGCAGATCACACCTCCCCCACACCGTAATCAACCTAGGAGACCCAAGAGGAAGAGAAGGCAATCCATGGAGGAGAAAAGTCAAAGCAAGAGTCAAAGTCAGAGTCAAGGGTTAGATGTTGGTCCCAGTGAGATTCATGGTCATGGTCCACATGGTAGTGGGAAACTAACAAGAAAGTTTGTTAGTGTGACTTGTAGTAAGTGTGGAAACAAAGGGCACAACTCCAGGACATGCAAAGGTCAGGGAGGGACTTGATGGTCTATGTTGGTTTTATCTTTTGGTTTGACTGTATTGAACAACTTTGGTTTGATTCCTAGATGCAGGATGTCTTTTGTTGCAATAACTTTGTTTTCAATTAACTTATGACATGTATTTTGAAGATGGTAATAGGTATTATGTCTTTAGTATGCTTTTATGTTAACTACATATGGATGCATTATATATATCTTTAGAAGGTTATGTATGAACAATAGAACAAATCCATAATTGGTCAATAGATACCAAATTTTCATTAACCATTACTTTGCATTACAACAATGTTCCACATTAGCAAAAAAATACTCAAACCAGACACATATACCCCTATCCTATTACAAATGATAACCACAATCAACCTGTGGACTTACAACAATAACAACAACACAACAACAAAAAATATCCAACTATAGACTAGGTAATACTTCAACATAGTTGCTTGTTCTTTGATCTTCTCCATTGCTTTTTCATGCTTGCTTGCTTGTTCTTTTATATCATCCATTGCTTTTCGTAGCTTATTGATTGTCCTAAGCAGCCCTGGTATTATAACTTTGGAACGAGCACACATGGGTTCATCATACCACCCAATAAACCCACATGATGAATTCTTGAAAAAAAGAAGAAAGAAACATTAGATCATCAGGGAGTAGTCTTCAAAATAAAGTTTAACACACTTACCGGGTCAGGACATCCCCAAAATCGGCGCCCTGGGTTGTTATCTATCCACGATGTCCGAACTATCGCTCACTTTCTGCAGACGCACATCACCATTGTCGATGGAGAAGATGAAATCACAGGGGGGTGATCGATGGAGAAGATGAAATCAGAGAGGGAGTGATAGTTAGGGCTTGTTGCTGGAGACGGGAATAGAGACGTTGTAGTCTCTTTATGGACTAAATAATAATAAAATAATAAAGGGCTAGATGAATGGACTAAAATACCCTTAAGTGAGAGGGGCATGGGTAAATTAACGGGAGCTTGGTAACGGCTGTTAAGCCATTGGACTAAACTCGCAACAAATAGAAACTATTGGACCATCTTTGCAAGCCAAACCCATTTTGGACCAAACATGCTAGTTTGGACATACCACAGGGACCAAATTTTCAATTTTGTCTTATAATTATTTAAAACATCAAACATTATTTTTTAATTTTAAAGATAACAATATAATCATTTATATAGAGTTATTTTTAACTATTGTTATTATAAGTTATTTTAAGCTACTTATTTGAAAATTTTTAACGATTATATAAATATATTTAGGAAATATTTTAGTTAAATTGATATTACAATTTAGTTTTTTATATTTATCACTATAATTTATCATTTTTAACTATTTACAAAATATTATTTGATTTTTTTAGTGGAACATAAATTTATATTTAAGTTGACACTATAATGTTATATTTAAATTAACATTTTAAATATTTTGTCCAAACCATTCAAAAATTGTAGCTTAAAACTGATAATGGTTTACATGCAACAACATGTTAAATCTAATAAATTAAGTATAATATATTAAAATTTAAAGAAATAACTTTATAAATAGAAGTAAATATATTATTTTAAAATTAAAATTTAGTCTATTTATGATTACACTTTAGGTTTGATATTTATTTAACTTTATTAACCAACTTACAATCATTATTTGAAAGACACTACAATTTATCATTTTTAACTATTTATAAACTAATATTTGGGTTGTTTAAGTTAAATAAAATTGATATTTAAGTTGAGCCTGTAATGTTATATTTTAATTAATAATTGAAGTATTTTATACAAATTGTTCAAAAATTATACCTTTAAAATGATAATGGTTTACATCTAACAATATATTAAAACTAATAAATTAAGTATAATATGTTAAAAGTTAAAAAACATAATTTTATAAGTAGAATAAAAATATTATTTAAATACTGAAATTTAGTTTATATATGAATACACTTTAGATTTGATATTTATTTAACATAATTACCAAATTATAATAATTATTATAAAGAAATTGAAAAGTCATGAGAGTTTCAAATGAATGTGGTAAAAGGAAAAAAGAATGGGGGTTTCAAATACATGAGATTCAAGAAAAAATATCAGCCTTATAAGTATGTATGATATTTAAAATGTTTATAAATATATATATATATATATATATATATATATATATATATATATATATATATTAATGACATTGTTTTTAGATTTTATATAATAAATGTTATATTGATTGTTTGTTTTGAATTATATAATAATTATGTGTGAAACCTGTGTATTATATAAGTTTTTTTTTTTTAATTAATATAAAAATTGTAAGCATTACCTATTTTTTTAAATAGTATATTTACGCATGTGATATTACGATTTTGTATGTTATTATGCACGATATAGATTCAACAAAATGTGTGAAACTCGTGTATTATATAAGTTTTTTCTTTTTTTAAGAAAAAAATTAATATAAAAATTGTAAGCATTACCTATGTTTTTAAATAGTATATTTACACATGTGATATTACGATTTTGTATCTTATTATGCGCGATGAAGATTCAACAAAATGTGATCATAAAGTTACAAGCCAAATAGCAATGTTAAAAGTTAGAAATTATATATATATATATATATATATATATATATATATATATATATATATATATATATATATATATATATATATATATATATATATATATATATAATCCAAAGGAGCTTAGGAACACTAGTTTTTTAGGCTTTAGGTTTTTGCAACAAATGTTTTCTAAATTTGACAACTTTGGTCCTAAAGTCAAAACTTTTTATATTTTTACGTTTTGATTATTAAGTTTTTGCCCTAAATCTTTACTGACTTTGACACTTTTAGTCCTTGCAATAAAAGGTTTTACATTTTTGTGTTTTTGCCACAAATCTTTGACGAATTTGACACTATGTTTTTAAATAGTATATTTACACATGTGATATTACGATTTTGTATCTTATTATGCGCGATGAAGATTCAACAAAATGTGATCATAAAGTTACAAGCCAAATAGCAATGTTAAAAGTTAGAAATATATATATATATATATATATATATATATATATATATATATATATATATATATATATATATATAATCCAAAGGAGCTTAGGAACACTATTTTTTTAGGCTTTAGGTTTTTGCAACAAATGTTTTCTAAATTTGACAACTTTGGTCCTAAAGTCAAAACTTTTTATATTTTTACGTTTTGATTATTAAGTTTTTGCCCTAAATCTTTACTGACTTTGACACTTTTAGTCCTTGCAATAAAAGGTTTTACATTTTTGTGTTTTTGCCACAAATCTTTGACGAATTTGACACTTTTCGTCCTTGTAGTCAAAACGTTTACATTTTAACATAAAAAAACCTCATTTAGAATTTTGTCAGCATAGTTTCCCAACTTTGACAACTTTAACATTATTGCCACAATATTTTTGGATTTTCTCCACCAGTGTCCTTTCTTTTGGTTGTATACTTTTGATATCCAATTTTAGGGACTGCCGACTTTCTCCCATATTTGTGTGATTTACAATTTCAACACATATCTTTTAAAATTTTCCGATTTTTTCCATATTACCTCAAAAGCGGTATAGCTGTGGGGTCTTTACTAGTTTTAAATAAAAAACAACATTGCACTGAACTTGCTTCATTATAGAAGTTTGGTATAAAATAAATACGTATATGAACAACATGTAGAGTCTAGTTATTGTAAAAGTCGAAGTGTTTGTTTTGAGTTTCGCATGTTAGTTATTTTACTAAGTCTTCATTTGTGCGAAGCGTATTGTTCAGGACTTAGTATACTTTTTGTACACTCATGTTTCCTATAAATAGGGACTGAGGTTAAAAGTAGAGAGAAGATTTTCTCTGCTTAGTTTGTAATCAGTTTCTTCATCAATATAAGATCTGATTAATATTTACTCCTTGTGTTCTTACTTTTCATTCATATAATCATGATTGCTTTCTAAATCTCGATTACAATTCTCAACAATTGGTATCAGAGTAGGATTCAAACTGTATTGATCTGATTTTTGTTTTAGAATCATTTGCTTTTTGAGTAGTGTTTTTATTCAAAAAATTTCTGCGCATTTTGATTCTGAAAACCACTCTTGATCTTCAGATTTGAATCGATTCTGCATTTGAATTGTTTAGTCGAGTGATCGATTAGCAATTCGTAATCAATTCATTCGATCAATTGTCAAAATCATCAAGTTTTTCAAGTTTTTCTGAAAAATTCTTGTGTTCATCAATGGCGAACTTCAACATGAATACCATGACTTCTTTCTCTCACTTGCTTGGTTCTTCAACCAAAATTCCAATGTTAATCCCTGAGTACTATGATCAGTGGGCTGATAGGATTGAGGATTACTTAAATAGAATTGATGAAGAACTCTGGAATTGTATCAGTGGAAAAGTTCTACCTCCTGAAAATGTTCAAACAATCGGATCATTTGCTTCTTCAAATGAGGTTGCTGAACAACAGAATCGCATGAAGAAGAATGAGAAAGGATGTATGAGGGAGCTAAGAGGTGCTCTGCCTCCTGTGGTTTACAATTACATTCGTAGTTGTAAAACAGCCAAGGATATTTTGATCACACTAAAAGAGAAATATCAAGGAAGTGAGAAGACAAAGATCAATTCTGTTAAGCAATGTCTTGTTAAACTTAAGGAATTAAGACAAAGGATGCTGAAACAATTGAAAACTACTATGATCGTCTGAATGAGCTTGTTTATCATTGCAGCAGGTATGGAATCTCAAGATCTCTCATGGAATTCAATCTGACATTCATCATGGGTCTTCGCAAAGAATGGCGTAGTGTGAGTATGATGATAAAGGAACCAACAAAGTTTTGATACAACCACCTTGAATGATCTCTACAACCAGCTGAAAACACATGAAAGTGAAGTTACAGAATTGCTTGAAGAATCGAAACAGAGTTTCGGAGGACCATTGGCTTTAGTTTCAAAGGTTACTAAAATTGATGCTAGTGAGAAAGA